CTAATTATTCCTAACAAAAACATATGGTTATTGAGACAGAATAAATCCAAGAATTATCAAAACATTTAATTTTTTTTTTGTACACTATAATTTAATTATTCATAATTTTATAGGAGTATTAGAAGATTCATTTATAAGACAATAAAATACTTTATTGCATGATAATGAACTTATCTAATTGTATTTATTATTGTATTAACCTGAATTTAGTAATAAAACAAGATTATTTATTTTTCATGTATTTGACATTATGAATAGTAATTCTTATTATCGTATAAAAAGTAAGTCTTATTTTAATTTTGTATAAAGTCATAAACAGTTATTTTCTTTCATTTATTTCAATAATAACATTTACTATAAAAATGCCTTTGTATTTATATTTCAATTATTTTAATATTAATGACATATTTCCATATAATATATATTCTATATTTTGGAAACAGTAAAATAATATTATTTTATATTATTTATATTATTTATAATAACATTATTTTATAAACTTACATATTCTGTTATAAGATTGAAAAAATTTTGGTGATGAAAAATAGATTAGTTTTACGATTTGTTAGAAGACTAATTTAATTTTTTAAATAGTTATATTACACAACAATTGGACACACCAACTGATTTCTTATATTATTTTAAATTCCAATTTATATATAATATGCTTTTTACTTGATTGAATCGAATTTGAAAAATATTATTTTTAAATTTGAAATTATTTTATTTGCTGAACCTTTACTTTATAATAATATAATTATAATACAATAAAAAATAGTTTTTAAGTTTTTGTATATTTCTTAGTAATCTATGAATATTACCATGTATTTTTTTTAATGAATACCTTTAAAAGCCTGTTATTTTGTTTTTGATATTTAATAAACCCATAAAATATTTCTATATTCTTTAACAGTAAATTATTTCAAAGTTATTTACGAGAATGCTTTTAAGTTTGAATAAATACAGTATGCAACTTGCTAATAATTTTTTATATACTAATCTACATGCACTAACATATATTCTGTGATAATATTTGAAACTTTGTTTATATTATGTATTTTCGATTGACAAATTTTTAATAAGATATGATCGGCTTATTAGTTTTTTAGATTAAACTTTATGATTAAATAAATATAGGATTAATTTATTTGTTTTAATCATACTTATCTTATACTTATTTAATTATATTTAATTATCAATACACTTATACCTATTTAATTAACTATTATTATATAGTCATTTCTTAAATAAGTATTTAATCATTTCAGTGACTATTATTATACTACTATTTATTTAATGAATCATTTGCTTTCTTTTTAGTTTAATAAATACAAAAGATCATCAATCATTCTGTACAAACCATATTAATAATTTTTTAATTGTATCATAAATAGTTTAATAAAAGTTTATTTTATATTAAATTTCATTTGTAACAAATATAATGTAATAAAATGTTTGTAATAAAAAATACGATAAAAAATATACACTGTATACTTTATTTATTTTGATATCAATACATTATTAAAAATTTCTATAAAAATTTTTTCTATTAATTAAATAAATTTACTTAATAATTATATATATGTAATTAATCATTTATATTTAATATTATGTCTAATTTGATCCAATTCAATCTTTACTAATATTCTTGGCAGTATTTAATAAATAATTTTTCTATTGGAATTTTTAAAGAAACAAAAATATATAATCTTACCATAGTTTCATTAATTCTATAATTTTATAGTCTCTTAATTTTGCAATTAATATAAACTAAATTTAATATATAATTTAATTTATTATTTAACCCATAACATTATTCATCACTTAAATTCACTTTTTTAGAGATTTATTCGAATTACATTCTATCATAAATGCCAATTACATACTGTATTTTTTAATATTATTTAATTAAAATATTTACTTAAGAAATTTGCCAAGAAGATTATTATGAAGAAGAAAATGATTAATACTAAAAACTTGTTTTATTTTGTCGTGGTGTTAACGATTCATTTAATTTGTACATTTCTATTTATTAATTCTTAACTTCAGTTTAACAATATTTGTGTACATACTGGCTTATTGTATGTTGATTTATATTCTTGTGATAATGTAAATAAAGCTGTATTGACAAATTTATTATGAATAAATCTATGAAAAGAGTGCTATTACGACTGAGATTCTGAATGATTTTAATTGTTTAATTAAACAAATAAGTTTTTTCCCATTGAAATTTTTTCAGAGCATAAGAGTACAAATAATTTATTTACATTGATTGGCATTTTTATATTTAATTGATATATATATATTTATTAAATATAATTCTAAAATAAAACATTCATTGACTTAATAGTGTAGACTTAATAGTGTATCTAATAAAATAATACGGTCAGATATATTAAAATTTACTCAGGCATAGATCAGGCAAGATAAATTAATAAAAAAGAAAAAGTAATCATATAAAAATGTTTGTAACCTAATTTTAATTATTACATTTATTTGTTAGTAAAAGAGTTACTGGAATGGATTGATAATTAAATTACTATTGTATAAAATAATGAGTTGACATAAGTGTTTGTATTACATATTAATATCAATAGTGTCGAAAAGCTATAGTGCATGTGTAGTAATAGCGTCAATAAGTAATATATTTTGTAATTTCATTTTTAATTAAATATGAATTAAGAATATTACAATGAAACCTATAATATAGATCTTTTACCGTTTAAGATATTGCAAAATGATAAAAAGTCTCTATACTCGACAAAATTTCTGTTTGCTCTACTGTAATAAAATTTATTTTTTAGAATAGGTCCTACAGTTACTACTAAATACAGTTAGAATGAATAGTATTTATAAAGTATGAATTAAAACAATATTTATTAATCAGTCCAATAATAATCCTGATGGATGTATAAAACAAATTTATTTGTGATTCTCAACATTCCTTATTAGTATTTACAAGTATATATGAATCATTAAAAAGAAAATAATGATTGAGAATCTAGAGAAAATTATATCTGCATATCTGTATATATAAAAATAAAACAAAGTTAATTAAATGAAAATTAATTAATAGTTAATATATTGGTGAGATTTTATTTATATAATAAAACAATTTGTCCTTTTGACAAATCTAACATGTACAGGAGTTTTTCTGTAATATATTTATCTAAGTAATATATTTGTAACATATGTTTAATTACGTTCATAACAATAGAGACATCTGAGAAAAAGAAGATAAAAGCATCATAGCCTTGATTACGTATACGACTATTTTTTAATTTATTAATTAAATAAATAATATATATTTTATATTTCAGGGTAATATTACAATTATATTATTCATATGATGTTGAGAGTTACTAGTTACTATGAAAGCTATTTATAGTAAATAAAGGAAAAGTTGTGATATAAATAATATAAAATGTATTAAAATTCATAAGCCATGGAATTTTTACAGCTTAATACAACGCATAGTGTTAATATTCATAAAGTTTGTATATTTAGATTTGTATGTTTAAAGTAATTAATCTGCAATTACATTTTTTGATATGTATATACATATATTAATATTTATAATATTTACATGTTTTAACGCAATTTCGTTTTTTATTATTTTTAGATCAGCTATCATTAGAAATTATTGATACATCATAAAAGAATAGTCGTGTTGTGGAATTACTTTTTCATATAGATTTTGTTTTTACATCATGTTTTGACGAAGACAATATATTAGCAATATTTCACCATATTAACTTCTCCTAAAAATTACAATTAATATAAATAAATTGAATTTTATATCCGTCAAAATGATACTTATATATTTTATATTCATATATCTTTCTTTAATAATCAATTATAAAGAATTATCGCTCTTGAAGCAATTTTTTTACCAAATTAAAAAAAAAATATGGATATTAGACATAATTATAATCAAAAGATTTTCTCACGTACTTCAGTAATAAAATAGCTAATAGTCAGTTTCTGATTGAAATTTAAGACAGTTATTATAACAAAATATTTTATTTTCCTATGATATTTTAATTATGTGGACACCTTTTCTTATTGATTTATTGTGTACCGTTCTTTATCTACTTGCCTTTTTCATATGTTCTGCTTGATTTTTTATGCTATGTAAGATAAGATACACATAAGATAAAACAGTTTTATAATTAATTGATAATAAATAGTTGCAAGGACGATTTTGTATCAATAATGATTATATTTTTTTATACTGTATATGTAGTTTGGAAAGAAAGAAATATTTACAACTGCGATGTTTAACTTGATTCGAAGAATTTCTTGACATATAATGATACACGTTATATACTATTATAACATGAAATACAAATTAAATTCACGTAAGTATATTGCATTAAGGAAATGTTATTTAAATATTCAGACTGTAAATGTTTAGCAATTTATTAATACTAACAATTTTAATTAATGAAAACTTTTCGACTAATTTATTTAAAATTGAATAATCATCTAATATCAATGAAGACCTTTATTTGAATAAAAATTTGTTTAAATTAGTTTAAAAAAAATTTTTCGCTTTTAAATCAATTATAAATTTTACTGCTTATTTTATTATATATTGTGAATATATAATAAAGTAAGTTTATTGTATGTGTGTGTGATACATTGTGAACAATAATTAATTATAATATCGGTAATTTAAAGATAAAACATATATTTTTTAATAAAAGCATTATGAGATAAAACTAGTAATAATATAGTTAGGGGTTTTCATCAATATATTGTCAAAAATTTGTTTAGGAATGTTTTTAAATTTAAAATAAACAAAAATATATTTATTTATTTAAAGTAAATATTTTTCCGTTTTTAAAAAATATTACAAAAATAAATGTTTATTTTCTAGTCAACTATGATTTTTTAAATTGAAATTTTATACTTTAAATACACAAAGAATATTATAAATTAAAAAGGAAAAGTTATTTTAATTTCATATTTATCATATAGATTTATTTTTATTTCAGCAATCATTTGGGTCTTGTTCTTCAATCATTCTAACCACTCAAAATGATTATCCTTGTTCGGTTCAGATTGCAGCTGTAAATTTTCAATAGGACAATTCCGTTCAAGGTAAAATAATTCATAAACATTTTCGTTTTTAAATATTATATATGTATTATTATGTACTGTAAGTTATTTTAATCACTAAATTTTAATATCATAAATTAAATATATCAAGAAATAATATTGATAAATACAAATTTATGATTAAAATTAAATAAATTCAACCTAATAAAACAGTAACATATTTATATTATATATAACTACACCATAGTGTTAAAATATAAAATTGCTTTCTTGATGCAATATAAGTGCAAAAAATGGTAAAAAAGTAATCAACTTTACATAAGTATCGATCACAAACACTTTTTCAAAAGATTTATTATGTAGATTTTGTATGTAGAATAGCGATAGAATAGCTAATAGTAGATTTGTAAGATTTATAATGTTAATATTTCATTTATATTAATTTTAACTAATATCAATTTCATGTGTCATATTATCAATTTCTTTTTGTTTATAATTAAAATTTAGTTTTAGTTAAAATATTGTTGAGGCACTTATGTATTGAAAAATAGGATTAATTTAATAAGTTTTATATTTTTTAGAAATTTATATTAGTATATCATGATAACAAATAATACTGTTTAACAATTACAGTTTTTATATTCATTGCCATTTTATAATGACAAAGGTAAAAATAAAATATTTAAATTATGATTGATGAACATGAAAAAATTTGGAGAATATATATAATTTACAAAAGAAATTAGATTGATATACATAAATAAATTATTAAATAATTGAAAGACGTGTGCTAATTACATTTTAATTTTTTTGTAATCTAGCGTATAACATAACATAAAAACTAGTAATAAAAGTTTCAACGTTGTACTTGAATTTTAAAAATTGTTATATAAAATAGTAAATTACGATAAAAAAATTATTTAGTACTTATAAATTATTTTTAATTTAAACATTTTATACGTACAACCAAAAAATTTTAATTTTATTTCGGCATTAAATTTGTTTAAAAATGATAATAATATAATAAATAAATAACACTAATTGTACATGCGTGCGCACATAATTAATTATGAATATTCCATCCGCTATAGTACAAAATTATCTCTCCTTTAGTCATGTTACGAAATTATAACTTCCTGCCTTCTGAGTAGACCCAAGCGAGAACACGGTGGAACAGAGGGAAATAAATTATAAGCGTATGTTACCTAACTGCGTTTTAGCTTTGTAAGTCTTACCACTAACTGATGGCTTACCTTAAAGTTTTATATTTATACGAAATTTAAAAGTCACTAATACACTTATTTTGCCATGCGATGTTGAAAATACTTAATAAATAATGCACGTAAAATATTTAAAACTTCAAATTTAATATATATTTTTATTTCAGACGTTATAGAAAATATGAATCGTTATATTTTTTCAAGAAATTATTCTTCTTTTATATCGAGAACAAAAGAGGGTGATACTTCAATTGAAAACTGCTTTGGTTGTACTTCCGGTGAAGTATAAATTAATGTACAGTATAAAGGAAAACAAATAATTCAAAAACATTTTTTAATATTATACTTTCTTTTTGAACGATAAAATTTTATTGACTAAAATAATTAATCTTATAATTTTATGTATAATACATATTATTGAATTTATAAAATTTTAGATTTACCTTAATTTATCTTTATACATTTTGTAAACTGTAAACATTGATGTCAAATTAAATAAATTATTATATACAATATGTATTAATAATCGCTATAATTTTTATAAAAATTTTGGACAATACTTTATACTGTACATGATTTTTTCAATTTAATTTTAGAATTATTAAATTATTATTTAAAATATATTTAATAATTACAAATGATACACTATTTTTGTTAAAAAGGATTCTTACTATTTCTTTTATTATTTTTTAAGTATTTAACTATATTTTGTATATTATATAAACCTTTATATATTTTTTATTCAATATATCATTTACAATTTCAGTTATAAAAATTCATCAAGTAAAAATATTAAATTTTTAAAGTTATTATATAAGTATTGCAATTAAAAACACGAAACTTTTATGTTTAAATGAACACGAAACTTTTATGTTTTTAATTTATGTTTAAAAATTTTTAATTTTAATTTTAATTTAAGTTTAAAAAATTTTTTAAATGAAACTTTAAAAAATAATATACATAAAAGGGGTCATTCTATATTGCTTTTTGAAAATTATTAAAAAATTGTAATTAAAAAAAATATTGTTTTTATTAAGAATTGAAATTTTTAATTCTTACAAAACAATTTTATAGCATTTTTTAAAGACAATGTAAGTATAATTATGTTTACAAATGTGTTACCTGATGCATTTAATTTTGTTTAAATTATTAAAAGCTTATCATGAAGGTTATATTTTAGAAAATTTTTTAAATTAATAATTTTGAAACAAGTACTAATCGTGTTTACATAATTCGATTCTTAATCCGATTTTTAATTAGTTTTTATATTCAATTTAAAAATTTGATTTTTAGCGATGTGCCATGTTGAAAAGTTCAATAATTGTTTATTCGTGAATTTTCTTGTGATCAATAAATGAAGACAAAATATGTAAACATTTAGTTAAATTGAAAATACATCGTAAATACATATAAAATTTTCTATAATCAATATTTTAAAAATTTGTCATTGTTTCACGTTATTCTGGAAATTCCTATTTCTAGAAAAAATGAATTCTGTTTTTATTTTTATAATCAAGACATTGATATTCACGCTTTATTATTTCGCATTTTTATTAATCGTATATTAATTTATTTTACATATTTATTCTAAAATTTAAGTTTTTATTCTTATAGTATCTTAATATTTTTATTTAAAAGATACTATTAATTTATTTTTGTTCAAATTAAATTTTCGATAATAATTAATAATAATTAATTTTTGATAATCACTGCTTAAAATAGTAAATAATACATTTCATAAGTTGATTTTATATTTGCAGATCAAAAAATTTGTGTGGCGAATTTGAATTCCATGGAACAATAAAATATTTGATATGTTCAATTTAACAAAACTATTAAAATTAGTCAGTATAAATTTTAAGAACTGTTTAGCAATATTATTAAAGAAGTTGTTTCATTGAATTTAAAATACTGTTAAATGGGATATTTAATTTTAATTTGTGGTCGAATTATTCGTCGATTTGTTATTATAAATATATTGTCTTTTATTTCTTACATATTTGTTTTTATTTATGTTAAAATATTTTTTTGATACAATTGTATACATATAATTTTCTTACTTTATATTAATTAATTATTTTCAGTAGTGTTCATCTCTTCGATGAATGTTTTTCAATATTTTAAAACTGATTTTCAATCTTAATTTTATTTTGGATAAAAATTATTTTTAATTCTATTCTTCTAAATATTGTATTACAATTATAATTGTTTATTATATTTAATTTTTTAATATTTTTTATAAAATGATGCATTTGTACATGTATGTAATATGCTATGCAAATTCTAAAAGTTCTTGATTTTTAGCCTATGAGACTAATTTTACTTTTTGATCAATAAAAAGTTTTATTTCATTATATATATTTCTATTATTCAAAATGAAAATTATTGGAAGTGTGCAGAGTTTGTAAATTATTTATGACGTAAAAATACTGTAGCGAATAATTTAAACTATTTGATGGGAATAAAAAAAACTAATTGAAATTTGTATACCTCAATAATTGCGAAGAACAAGTATAGAATATTAATAGAACATTAATAGAAGGATTAAGTTATACTTTAATTAGTCCTCACGTGTTACTTTTGTTCTGCAGCCAACACTAAGTTAGAATATGATTTCTGAATCACTTAAATACTGAAACTTTCAAATATTTAAGAAAGAATAGTGATTGATACTTATAATCTTTCGTTTTATTAAAAATCAAAGCGTTAAAAAGTTAATTTACGTTAAAATATTCGCTTCTAAAAAGTTTTGAAATCGCGTGTTCAAAATCATTACTATTATATTTGACTGATATTTCGTTTTTATAATATAGTATATAGCATAATATACTAATATACTATAAATATATAGTAGTATTTATAATATAATATGATAGAATATGTTTAATATTTCAAGATAATTTAAAAAATCATATAGAAAAATAAATTCTCTTTTTTCATTTCTTTTTCTTAAATAAATTGATTCCAATTTTGCACAAAATATATTCCGTTTGTAAGTACGTATATATATTTATATTTTATCTTAATGTGTTTTTAAATTTTTTCTCTCTCTTTATGCACATTATTTTAACATAATTGTCATTCTATATTCAAATATTATATTTTATTTTTGTAATATAATTTATGACGATATCATTAAATATTTTAATTATTATTTAAATAATATATTCTTACAATACCCTCATACATCCTAGAATATTTTTTAGATATATTGATATCTTTATTGTAGTTCGATATCATTTAATTTATTATATTATATATTATTTATATATTATTTAAAGTGAGATATAGCTTTCTATTTATTTTTATATACATCAAATACTACGATTTATTTTTTGTCTCATAATTTTTTTGTTTGCATTTGAATTTTTGTGGTACTTTTCATCTGTATCTTTAAAATTTCTTACATATATCTTCCTTTAGTTTCAAAATATCTATTAGGAAATAATTATTAAAGATTGTTAATTTATAATAAATATATATTTTATAAAGGATTAGTAACTATTGTGTAGTTAATGTTATTTGTATAAAATACACAGCGAAGCAATTTTATGGAAATAATTATTTTTATATCATTAATAAATAAATTTTAATCCTATTTTAGAATGTGAGATATAGTTTTTTGATTATTTCAAATATTATACGTTCCGTATAATCATAGTATAACTGAATGTACTACGTGTATATAATTAGATACTTTAATATTATCATTCTGAATGTTAATATTTAAAAATTAAATTGAAGCTAATTTTATGCGTAAAAAATAAAAATATATTAATGTTATATAGAAAAGAATTTTGTAATTTATAAAAATTTAGAATTATCTACTTTTTTCATTTTATATATTTATAAATATATATTAAAATATTTTTAAAAATATTGTGAAATATGTATGAAAATGTATAAATTTAACAAGTATCAATAAATAATATTTATGCTAATTCATTGAATATATTTATATTCAAGATTACTTATACACTTTCATATTTTTATGCAAAGTCAAGAAGTTATATGACTGTACTATGTGTTATAAATCTTTATGAATTTCTTACAATAATCATTTATTTATTCTTAAAGTTTGATTGAAAATAAGTTTATAGCTATGTGTTTACATGCTGACACATTAATATGTGTATATATAACAATTAGATATTATTTTATGATACGTTATATTAAATATTAATAAATAAATAATTACAAAACTCAATAACATTTTTTTATGATTCTAATTGATTATCATTTTCACTTAGAATAAAATCTAATGCTTGCTTTAAAATACATTAAAAATGTCAGATAGAAAAATCATTTCTTTAAAAATATTTATACATTATATTATGTATTAAGAATATTGATGTTAATATCGTTTTTAGAATATAACTAAATAAATTGCAATAAACTAATATGAAAAGTCTTTTCTAACAATAGGATAAACACATCTAAAATATTAAATTTTAGAAACATGAGGAAGTATCTCTTCTGAAGATAAACAAAAGATTGTATTACTTATTTTTAGTATACTTGTTTGAATACAATATTTAATTGAGTATTTCTAATATTATAGTAAACACAATTTTGCATATAGTATCTCTATGTATATAATAAAATATATATAGTATGCATAAGCATATAATATACATACATACATACATACATACATAAATATATATATACATATAAAATATACATTTAGATGTACATATAAATACGAAAATGTATCTATTTATAAATTTCCGCTCGGTATTTTTTTTTTAAGTATTTATCAAATTACAATAGTAAGTCTGCATAGTAATTAGGTAATCATATTAATTCAGTTAATTTATCAGTTTTCATAAGTTTATTTAAAAAAGTGTATTAGAAAAGTAAGGTAACAAGTATGTATATAACTATAAATACAATATTTTGAAAAGTTATATGTTGCTTGACAATTTCAAATAAATTTAATTTCAACTTTAAAAATTAGGAAAACAGTCTTTAATAAAAGATAAGAAAATGACATGCAAAAAATTGAATTACCTTTTAAAATTAGGTATTTTAACATTAAAAGGAAATAAGTATTTTTGATTTTAAATTTAATTTATAATATATATATATAATTATATTTATAATTTATTATAATTATATTTATAATTATATTATAATATATATATAATTAATTTATAAATAATAGTCAAAGAAAATATAGAGAAAATAATATATGATAAAAATTGTTTAAAAATATTTTATATTTTGATTTAGATATATTTAAAAATACATGCATATTATAATATACAGGTTTCAAAAAATTATTAATTCATCACTGATTTGATTAAGAATAAATTAAAAAGCATACATTAATAGAAAATTATTGTTTTTATTTCATTAATTCTCTCTGTTGAGATGATGATTATATGAGGATCAAATATGTTATGAAGATCACATATCTTCATATATTTTTGTTTTCAATTACTGCATAGCCCAATTAACAAATGCTAAATTGTTCGTTTTTTTTCATAGATGCGACATCAATGTATAATAGAATGCTGCTTGAACTATTTTATATGAATCACAACAAAAAAATACTAGTAAAAATTGATGCAGTAAGAACTATATTAATTTAAAATAATTACCAGAATAACGATGAGTAGATGGTATAGTATTTTAGCTATTAATATTTTATGTTAAGGTTTATCAATAAGTTTAATTTATTACATTTTCAGAATACTTGTCATTATAAAAGAATAATTTCTATACACGGAAGATCATATATTTAATACAGTATTTCAAGTAGTATAGTCAAAATTCCTCGAACACGAAATAAAAAAAGATGAGCCCGGAGGAAGAAGGTGGCCGAGGGGGCGGGTCCCCACCGGCTGCTGGGGCTGTTTTGCATCAACCTCATTATCCTTTAATTGCTAGTCCAGCTTCTGGTACAGAGCCTTGTACGCATGACGTAATTTTAACACCTGTTTCTGCAGCAGATACAACTACTAATGTAGCCGATCAAACTACATTTTCTGTAAATTTACAACAAACTATTAGTCCAAATTCAAGTCCAATAACTGGCGGTGACGTTGAAAAATTTGATGGAAAAATTGTATACAATCCTGATGGATCAGCGTATATTATTGAAGGAGAAAGTGAATTAAGCGACGATGATTCTTTACCAGATGGCTGTATTGTTGATGGGCGAGGAGTTTCTATTCCTCATACTCTTGTATTTCCTCAAATTGCTAATGCTTATTACGTTTCTAGACTATATGCACATCAAGCGTATCAACATCAACAACAACAAAGATCATCAATTATATTAACAAATCCTGAACTCCCTGTTATGCACAGTTATCGTGTAATTAGTTATAGAAGTTCTGAGGGAAGTAAACAACAACCATTGCCATCAATAATGCCAACAATCCCTGTCGCTTCTGTACCCGTTAAACCTATTTTAATGTGTTTCATATGTAAACTCAGTTTTGGTTACACGAAAAGTTTTGTTGCACATGCTCAAGGTGAACATCAATTAACATTAATGGATGATGAAAGGCAAATATTATCTCATGCAACTGCATCGGCTATAATACAAGCAGTTGGAAGAAATAAGCAACCAATTATTAGTTTTCTTGAACCAATTTCAACTTCAACATGTTCCCAAGATTCTGTAGAAAATATTTCATTACAACGTTCTCATAATGGAGATGATATTAATATTCATGAATTGTCAAATAAAACACATACAAATTTAAATATGTCAAATTCAATGAGTAATTTACATAATTTCCAACAGAAGTCTATTGGTACTTCTATAATAACTGCCTCATCTAATCACAATATTTTGCATAATCATCAACAACATAGTCAATGGACTAATACACAAATTAGTACCTCCTCCTGGTCAAAGGTAACAGAAAGTTCTACAAGCAATTATACATCACCGTCAATACCCATAAAATCTCAAGCAGCTTATACAAGTGTATCGCAACAACCACCCAATTTCCTCAGTGGTACTACTATCGGTGTTTGCCCAGAACATATACAGGGTAGGCCAAGTGGCATTGAATGTTCAAAATGTGAAATAATTCTAGCGAGTAGTCGATTATCAACGGTTAGTGGATCTTTAACAGGAGTTCATAGTAGAAATTCATGTAAAACTTTAAAGTGTCCAAAATGTAATTGGCATTATAAATATCAAGAAACTTTAGAAATTCATATGAAAGAAAAACACCCAGATAGTGAAACATCATGTATCTATTGTATTGCTGGACAACCTCATCCAAGATTAGCACGAGGTGAAACATATACTTGTGGTTATAAACCATACAGATGTGAAGTTTGTAATTATTCGACTACTACTAAAGGGAATTTAAGTATACACATGCAAAGTGATAAACATTTAAATAATATGCAAGAGCTCCAACAAGGTAGTAATAATTCTAATACGAATAATCCTTCATCATCTCAAGATCATCCCATACAAACTCGAAGTCCTCATCACCAACAAAATCATAGTCCATTACTAAGTACTCACGTAATAAATCAAGGAAAACCTAAACCTACGTTTCGTTGCGATGCTTGTAATTATGAAACTAATGTTGCTAGAAATCTTAGAATACATATGACAAGTGAAAAACATACACATCATATGTTAGTTTTACAGCAAAATATTAAACACATACAATCGCTGTCTGTAATTCAATCACATCAACATCAAACACAGCAAAGTCAAATTCAGCAACATCAACAATCATTTGAGCAATTTCTTCATCTAGGAAATTTAGATAAACCACAACATGCTGAAGCTGCAATTGCTGACATGGCTTATAATCAAGCTCTTTTGATACAGATGATGACTGGAGGTCAACTACCATCAAATGTACCACCAGAAATAATTGGTAGCATTGCAAATATAAATGCTTTAGCAAATATTGGAACAGATGTTGGTTTATCGCCAGAAAGCATGGAACCGCCACCAGAACCATCAGATCCTGATCCATCTCATCTTTATCAATGTTGCGTTTGTAATAATTTTTCCACCGATTCTATTGAAGGGCTTGGAATTCACTTAGCTTCTGATCGAACTAAAACTCGCGAAGGTGAAATACTCAGCAATATTGCGGGTCATTTTATTTGTAAATTATGTTCCTATAAAACTAATTTAAAAGCAAATTTTCAACTTCATTGTAAAACTGATAAACATTTACAAAGACTTCAACATGTTAATCATGTAAAGGAAGGTGGACCTCGTAATGAGTGGAAACTAAAGTACCTCGCATCTCCTACTAGCGCAGCACAAATACGATGTCATGCTTGTGATTATTATACTAACAGTGTTCACAAATTAGCTCTTCACGCTGCCTCTCCAAGACATGAAGCCGCAGCTCTTTTACTCCGTCATTTACTTGAAGCTAGTATTAATGTTTTATCTTTATCAAAATTATACCATTGCGCTCTTTGTGGATTTAGTGCAAAAAATCGATTACCATTACTTCAACACGTTAGATCCATTAGACATCTTCAAATGGAACAGCTGCATCAATTACATAGAAGAACAGGAATACCAGGTAGTGAAATTCCACATACCGATATTGGAGATGTTTTTCAAGTAATATCAGATCCTAATGGAGCTTCTACAAATTTAAAATCGAACTCCTCGTCTAGTTTACTATTGAGTTCTACATCGAGCAGTGGTAAGTACAAAGATTTAAAAATTATAATAATCATATTCTTCTAATTTTTGTTTTCTTTGTTTATCTAGTTATTGTAAGAAGGCGAATACAAAAAATTTAAATAATATAGTTTAACAAATTACATATAATTTAAAAATATATTAAAAAATATTGTATAACACAATCAATTATATATCTTTTTTTTAATATAAAAAACAATATGTATTATATTTAATTGTTTAATATTGTTGAAACTCATTCATTTTTAAATTGTTAAGTTGTTAAAAATTAAAAAAATTAATTAAAAAAGTTTATGTTAAATGTTCATTTAAATGATTAAATATTTACATGTTTAAAGTATAAAATGTATAGTAAAATCTGATTTAAATTCATATTCTAAATTGTTTAATATTCTATATCAATTTTAATATAAATGCCAACTAATTGTAAAAACTTTTTTCATTTTATGCATGGGCAAGTTTTTATTACTATCGCACATTCATATTCAATAGTAAACCAATATACTTAACATAAAATTGGCAAATTGGAATTTATGATCAAATTCTATTTCTTTCATGATAACAATTTATATTGCCTGAATATATTTAGTACATATAATTCTATATTAAATAATTTTTCATTCTCTGTTTCTTTTTTTTAGTTAGTACAATATTTTAAATTAAATTTATAGTAATATATTACTAAAAAATAAAAAATTCATTTATAATTTTTTAACAAATAATTGTATGATTAAATAGTGATATAAATTTAACATTTATTTTATTCATTTTCATTTGTATAATGTACTTAAAAATGTTTTTGAATTAATTTATAATCATATGCTAATATTTTTTTGCGCATATCACTAAAAATCAATATTAAAGCATTTTTTATTTTACCAATTACATTATTGAAAATGATTTACATTTTTATATCATTTAAAATTGCAATAATAAAATTAATCAACAAATCAAAGTATTCTATTGTATTTAAAATCTTGTATTATTCATATTTTGTGTGATTTTAATAAAGTTGCTTACTTTATACTATTAGTTTTATTAAGAATTCTTTTAACAATGAACTAACTATTAGCTTAAATATGATATTCCTTTAAGATACTTTATTGTTATGCGCATGGCGCGTGTGTGTGAATGTGTGAAACATAATACAAATTTTTAAAAAAGAATAAATTGATTAAGTTTAAGTAAAATAAAACGAATTTATCTTAATAATTTTCTAGCATTTTAATTGAATATATTTTATAGAATACTCTTAAAAAATAAGCATATCAATTCTTATTTATTGCTATAATGATTCAAAATGAATGATCTTCCACATATTTATTTACTTAAATTAAGACTTTTAAAATTTAAAGAACATTATATACGTAAATACTTCAGTGTTAAGCATTTTATAAAAAAAATTACATAAGTTTCATTATAACAAAAAATAAAATTGATAAAAAAATATAATTTAATATATAGGACTTAATAAAATTTCAGTCTCTAAAATTTGAAAATTATTATAAATTCATTTTTTTGATAAACGATTTTGTATTACTTTTGGTAACACAAAGAAACGAAAGATTTAACATTATTTCTTAATTCTTATTTAACGGAAATAGCTTTAAAAATTTAACAAAGTAAACTGATAGTTACAGATATATAAAGTTGTAAATTTAACACTGTATTTTGAATGTTCATTTAAAATAAAAATTATCATTCAGACTGATTAGAAAGACATACTTGATCGTTACTTAATTTTTAGTTTTGAGCAATAGATTTAATTTAGTTAAAAATACATGATTTTTATATGTAAAATAGTTTTTACTAATCGTAGTAATTTTTAATTAATTTAAAATTTTAAAAGCTACGTCAAAATATTTTTTATGAAGACCTTCATTTATAATGAACAACTATTAAAAATTTTAATTTTTTTTTTTTTTTTTTTGAAAAATAGTTTAAAAATAGTGATAATTGTAAAATAATAAATGGTAATACTTTAATAAAAATAATGTTTGTTTATTACTCTTGACTGTCCATCATGTTTTAAAAATATTTTTCGAACAAAAAATCAATTCGCTTATTAATTCTTTATATTATAGTTTGACATGTTATTTATGAAATTTAAAAGAAGACAAAAAAATTATTTAAGTAAATTGTATTTTCTTTATTTCTATATCCATTAAATATATAGTAGAGTTTAGTCGACCTATTCTTCTAATTTTAAAATAATTCAATAGAATTAAGACAATATTACATTAATGTAAGACTTTTAACTATATATTTTATTAGTACTTTGAATCAATAAAACGTGTTTACCTTCATATTTTCATACAGTTGAATAAAGTCAACATTTTCGAATTGATTTTTTAAAATAAAAATATTTAACCATATAATTTGTAATCTGGGTGTTAAGGTATCATGAGGCTTATGATAATTGAAAATGAAAAATCTTTTAATAAAAAATATTTTTTATTAATATTTTAATATAATTTTAGTATAATATTGACATGAAATTGAAAAAGTGTACATCGTCTTTAATTTTTAATCAATTAATAATAAAGGTAACTGTTAATCTAATATAATTAGAAATAATTTTTTAATAATTTATTTTTAATAATTTAAATATTATAATCTTATATGTATAAATATTCAATATATACATAACATATATATATATATATATATATATATATATATATATATATGTGTGTGTGTATTTATTTATTTATTTATAACCATTGTAGATTATACATTCATATTACTAGTGCAGTACAGTAATGTATTTATTCCATGCATGTGTGCGTGCATGCGCGCGTGCGTGCATCTTGATTTTTAAAAGATAAAATGTAACTCTTTATTAATAACATTATATCAGCCTTTTAATCTTTATTTTAAGTATATAATTTCTTGTTTAACTTTGTAATAAAGATTTTATAAAATAAATAGAATTTTACGAAATAATATTTTTAATTTCAAATATTTTAAATAAAAAATAAATACTTTCTATTCTCATAATAATATACTATTTATTTTTATATAATATAATTTATATTTATATATAATTATATATAATAATAAATACAATTATATATAATAATAAATATATTTATATATAATATAATTTATATATATAATATAACAAATAATACATCTTTATAATATGAATGCAATTCCTTTTATTGCACTACTAACATTCATAAATGTAATTTGTAATAATAAATACCATAATAAATATAATAATACATGAATAATGTTCAATGTAAACATTAAATTTATTTATTAGGTTATAGGTAAATACGGATTTAGATCTTGTATCAAATTTAATTATAGATATTATAGATATGCTATTATTTTAAATGATTTTTTATTCCGTTCGATTATAGTGAAGATAAAGAAATTAATTACCATTATATTAAAACTTTTTAATTTTTACTTAAAAGTGCAACAGAATTGCTTATACTATTGTTATTCTTATTTTGACTTAACATTTTTTTTTAATTTATTGTGAAGTACATGATAATTTTTATTACGCTTCTCAAAAAATGTTCTATTACGGATATATTTTAAATAGTTGATTTCATCTAGACATATACATAAAATTGGATTATATTATGAAATAACGTGTGCAATTAGATTTCAGATTTCGGCAAAGGTTCTTTGTAGTATTACTGTCTCAATTATTAACTTGTAACATACATTTAAATATGTCTCCCTTCTAATAAAAAAATATTGAAATATTCCATTATAAAGATTATATTTAATTATATAATTAACAATTTTTATATTTTTTTAGATATATAGAAATAACTATTCATTCCCTTAAAATATTAAAAAATTTATAGTACAACAAAATGACAATCATATACCAAATGAAAATATTTGTATATAACATAAAAATAATATAGAAATATTATGTATTAAATAGTATGTTTTATTTTTATATGATAATGAATGAAATGAAAATTAGTTTATAATTTTTTTCCGATAATTAATAAATTATTTTAAGAAATATTTTTAATTAATTGTTATTTTTTTATTTCAGAACGAAAAGAAAACGAAAGTGATTGTAAAAATGAAATAAAGAAGGAAATAGAACATGAACGAGAACAGGAACAAGAAAATGAGACTGATGATCTTACATGTTCTTATTGTTCATATTTAGCATCATCGAGTGAGGAATTAAAAACACACCTTCAAATTATCCATACTCAGGACACTGAAGAGGTGGATGACTTAAAAGAAAATTCAAATTCTGATCTACTATGCCCTTTGTGCCAAGACTGTTTTAAGCATCGTACTGCGTTGGAAAAACATGTAATGCAAATTCATTCAGTTAATTCTGATGGCTTACAGAGATTATTACTTCTTGTAGATCAAAGCCATTGGTTAAATAATAACCCTCGTACCATAAATGCGTCAATTCCATGTCCAAAATCACCTAATATTTTATTTAAAAAAAATCAGAATGAAGAGAATATTGAACATATAATTGATGATGGAGATGATACTACAAAATGTCATGTTTGTCCAAGAGTATGCCACTCGATAGATGAACTGCAGCAACATCACAAAGAATCACATTCAACATCTGTACCAAGTTTAGCTGTGAGTGAAAAGCATGTTTATAAATATAGATGTGGTCAATGCAGCTTAGCATTTAAGACATTAGAAAAGCTTCAACAACATTCCCAATATCATGCTATTAGAGATGCAACGAAATGTGCTATTTGTTTTCGCTCTTTTCGATCAGTACAAGCACTTCATCGGCATTTAGAAACTGCTCATACTGAATTACAAGAAGAGGAGTTGGCACAATATAAACAAAGTTTATTAAATTCACATCCTCTTTTACAAGTACTAACAGAAGAAGCACTTCGACGTCAAGGTATATTTAGTAATGAACAATTAATTGACGAAGAAATTAAAATTGATGATGATGAAACCGATATTAATGAATTATCAACAATGCATAAAGAACAACGATTACTTGAAGATTATTTAAATAGCCAATCTATAGCAGAAGATTCTTATAATGATTCTGGACGAAAGTTTAAATGTCATCGATGTAAAGTTGCATTTACTAGGCAATGTTACCTTACTGGTCATAATAAGACTTTATTACATCGAAAAGGTGAAAAAATGCCATATCCTATGGAAAAATATTTAGATCCAAATAGACCATATAAATGTGACGTTTGTAAAGAAAGTTTTACTCAGAAAAATATTCTTCTTGTTCATTATAATAGTGTTAGTCATTTACATAAATTAAAGAGAGCGATGCAGGAACAAGGCAATAATAATACTTTTATTAGCGTAGCATCCCCTGTAAGTCCTGCGGATCTAAATGATATTCAACAAGATCATGATAAAAAACCATATAAGTGCAATATATGTAAAGTTGCTTATTCTCAAGGAAGTACTTTGGACATACACAAGAGGAGTGTACTTCATCAAACTCGTGCTAGCAAAATTCATGATTTAGCCATCAGTGGTCAATTAGATTTAGCACGACCTTTAATAGAACAACCGATTTTAAGTCCTAATAGTTTATTATGTAATAATGGAGATAATAATGCGCATATGCTGCCTTGTACAAAATGTAATGCATTATTTATTACGCAAGATCAACTTTCTGCTCACCAGCAATTGTATTGTATTTTCAGTAATCCTTTGGCCTTATTTCAACAATTAGCAACATCTCAACATTTAACAATGTCCCCTTCAAAAACTCCCCCTCCATCAGTATCATCTACTGGATCCCAAGATAAACATTTATCACAATCACATCCGCAATCATTGATTTCTCAAGAAGTATTGTACCAGCCAAAACATAAGACATCACAAATGTACAAGCATTTATTAGAAAGTTTTGGATTTGACTTAGTTATGCAGTTTAATGAAAATCACCAAAGAAGACAAAGAAAAGAAGAAGAAGTTGCAGTTGCATTTCAATTGCACCAAGAACATGAAAACGAAGAACAGCAGAAACATAATTTTGATGAAAAAATATGTCAAGAAAAAGAACAGGATATTGATGATCCTGGAGAAGATGAAATTATTCCAGAAATAAAACGAAGTACTTGTCAACATTGTAATAAAGAGTTTAGCAGTGTATGGGTACTTAAAGCACATTGTGAAGAAGTACATCGAGATCTAGTTCCACGTGAATTTCTTGAAAAATATGCACAACAGTTTAAATGTGAGTATGAAAAAAAAATTGTTATTGTAACAGCAGCTACTTCTTCATCCACAACAACCGCTCCTGTAACTATAACACCTACATCATATCAAATTCATGATAATAATATGTATGAAAACAAAGAAAAAGACGATTCTTGCGAACATAAGGAATGTGTGAGTAAAACACCAGAAGCTACTTCTACAACTCCAGCAACTACTCCAGCACTGAGTAATACACCAGTATCAAGTACAGATTCGAATACACCAACAGTACCAAGTAACATATCTCAAAATCTTACTCATCAACAGCAAGCTCAATTAACTTTAGCTCATCATATGTCTGAAATGCAAGCAGCATTTAATGCCATGGCTGCTTCTCAATTACAACAACAGCTCCACCAATATCCAAGTTTAATGATGAGCATGATGGGTTTACCACTAGGACTTAATGTACCTGCTCTTGCAGCAATGAATCTTCAACCTCCACTAGTACCAGTTATGTTACCTCCGCCAACGTTCGATGGAAATAATAGTACATATTCGTCTTTATCAACACAATCTGATTTATTATCACAACAGCATCTTTCCATGCAACAACAACAACACGTAGTAGCAGTAAGTATTTTAGTAGAAGATCGTTTTTTAAGATAATAAATTTTTATAAAAATTAACAATATTGTACACAATATTTTAATTATTAATCAATACTTTTTAGAAAATTAAAAAATATTAGAATTATTAATACAAATAAAATAAAATAAAAAATTGAAATTAAACTGAAATTATTGAAATTATTCGTTTAAAGAAGGAAATTAATAACAAATTATTTAAGAAATTGTCAAGTTGAAAATAAGTTTTTCGAAAAAAAATTTTTTTAATAATCATATATTTTGATTTTTATTTCTATTTTAAGATTTTTTAATTTTTTTGTTATCATATTTGGAAGTCAGATATGACATTATTTTGGTATAAAATATTTAAAAAGTAAATAAATTTTTTTGCTTTAACGAATAATTTATATTATAAATTCAAGTATCAAATACCTTTGTAGAAAAAAATTGCTAACTATAATTTCAAATTATGGTACATTTTAGTACATGTACGTTCAGTACATTTTAGCAGATGAAGGTACCGTATTTATGTAAAAATATATATATTTGAATACTATAAATAGTGTTAGTTATTTTTACAAACATTATTAACAATTATTATAATGATTTAAATTTTCTCAATCAGAAATAATATGAAATTTTTTCAGTATTAAACAGAATCGTTTGTATAATTTTTTATATTCTTATAGTATGTTTATGTATTATTAAATTTTGTATTAGAACAAATATTAGTTTTAATAAAAAAGTATTAAAATACATAAATTTAAAATAAATAAATTAATAGAAAGAAGTATATATTATGTTGTTCAGTGGTAAGGTTTTAAAAGCTTATGAAAAAAAAATTAAAATATTATAATAGTAATTTTAACATGGAAGTAAATAGTTATCATATAATATTAATAACCTTTAAAAAATTAAACAAAATTTACACTAAATACAAGTTAAAGAACTAAAAATAATTAAAATTTTTTGAAAAATTTGGAATTGATATTGCAAATTTAAATTCTTAATGTATATATATTAATTGTGAATGTCATTTTTAGATTATGCTATAAAAGTATATTAATGCGAAATACAGTCTAAAAAATCCTCACTCAGTTATAACTTATCATTTATCTGATAGAAGATTAAAGCTAGTTACACTTTAAAAATTTAGACATAAATCAATTTTTTATATTGAAGTTTTTAATGCTCCTAGAAATCTATATATAACAATTTCATAAGTAATTATCTACTCAATCATTGTTAACGAAACTAGACACTTTATTATAATCGAAATATTAGGCCTTGAAATGTGGTATTTTTATTTTTTAAAACCGGTAAAACAATATTTGATATTATTTTCCATTGCAATCTGTATTTTCAATGATAATTTATGTAGTATCATGAACACTATTATTATAATGGGCATCGACTATTCATCAAAACTGTTATATCTTTACATACAAATTAAAACATTGTTAATAAAATTATTATTTATGAAGAAGGTGTAAAGTCACAATCTATCTTACCATTATGTCGAAATGATAATAAATGTAAGAATATTACCATAAATGAATATTCATATTATTTCAGGATAACAAAATTAAGATAAAAAAATAATTAAAAATTTTTCTATTTGCAAGACAAATATAATATTTTGAAATTTGAAACTTGTTTTAATACTTTATTACTTATACTTTATTACATTTATTACATTAAATAATTTTTTTTTCAAAGCATAAAGACATTTTTCATTTCATTTTAGACCACGTTTTGGAAAAGTAACAATTTTTAAGTAAAATCTTTTTATATAAAATTTTATATAAATTCAAAAATTCTAATAAATTTTTTTTATTAGAAATGATTTTAATTATTTCATTATAACTGATTTTTAATAATTGTGTTGAAGATAAATAAATAATTAATTATTTTATTGCTGGAAATATGCACAATCTAATTGATTAAATTTTCAATTTATAATTGAAGCACAATACATTTTGATATATTTATTTTATTTATTTTTTTGTTGTATTTATTTTTTATTATCAATATTTATTTGATTATATTTTATTGAGTATATCATATTTTATTATATCATATATCACCATGTCAATATTTTATTGAGTAATCGAACAATATTCATTTGATATACTATTCATTCGGTAATTTACAGTATTCATCTGGAATTAATTTTGATTGTGTCATTTATTTATAACCTTATGCATATTCAAATGATTTTATAAATATATAAAATATGTATGCAGTGAAGGTTTATAAGTAAAATTTTACTATTTATTAACAAAAGTCTTCTCTATACTTTTTTATTTTCATCCATACACAGAAATGATAATTTAAGTATTGAAGAATATATTTTTTCAATACAAATTAATGTTTGAATAAAAATATATGTAAATGGAATACAGATATAATTATTCTTATTTATTATTTTATGCTTTAAATTGCATTTTTCGGACGTGCACGAAATCTGATCAATTCAATGTTCAATGATAATAAATATTCTATTATATTCTATTAAAACCTTCATTTTCAGATTTGAAATTTTGTCAGATTAGCAGTTATATTTGATTATGAATTTATTATATATTAAGAGAATGAATTGCATAATAGAAAAAACTAAATTATTTTATTTATTTCATTATAAAATTTGTATACGTTCTTATAATAATCAAATCACTATCCTATCTTATTTAAAGAATGTCATCTACTGCGGACATTATTTAAATCAGTATTTTCATATCAGTTTAATTCATTTTTAATTTTGTTACAATATTTTTTATGAATATTCGTTATGGTTTCGTATACTTTTTTAACAATAATAGATTTATTATATAATTTAAATGTTTAATTTATTTGCATTATATCGAATAATTAAATTTTTTCTTGTTTTATGATTTAATTTTAAAATTGATTGTTTGATTTTTTAGATTGATTCTTTAGATATATAATTTATGTTTATAATAATAATTTTGTGTCTTCAATGAGTTTTATTAAATTTTTAATAATTATTTGAATTGGTTTATTTGCAGTAAATTTTGTGATCTGCATCTCTTTTGACTTGTTTAATAAGTAATTTTTTAACTTTGATTATACAAATGTTATAATTTTTTAATTAAATAATAAATAAAAGTATTGAATTTTGTTCTCGTAATATTTTTTTTATATATTCTAATCATAAATCATTAAGAATTTTACGCTCAACTTCACCGATAATTTATTTAGATTGTTACGATTTCTTTTATTACTTCCAATATACTCATATTTATTTTCATTTACTTAATTACCGGTATTCATAATAATTAAACCGAATAAAGCGAATTAAATTTTTAATTAATAAGTAAATATAATATAATAAATAAATTTCCTTACTGTAATAAAATATTTTCAATAATTTTAATAAATAACATGGGCTAGAAATGGATTTTTTTATCTTTAGTGAATACTATATTTATATATTTTTTTATTTTTATTTTAGGCAAATGCAGCAGCATCACAAAAAAGAGCAAGGACTAGAATAACAGATGATCAGCTTAAGATTCTTAGAGCTCACTTTGATATAAATAATTCTCCTGGTGAAGATCAAATTATAGATATGGCAACTCAGAGTGGTTTGCCACCTAAAGTAATAAAGCATTGGTTCCGTAATACTTTATTTAAAGAACGTCAACGAAATAAAGATAGTCCTTACAATTTCAATAACCCTCCAAGTACTACATTAAATTTGGAGGAGTATGAAAAAACTGGGGAAGCAAAAGTAATACCGCTCAATTCTATAGCAAGTGAAACTACATTAGAAGATAAACTTCAAGAAAAACAATTACTTATTGCAGCAACCTCAACAATTTCTAATATTTCAACTCAAAATGATAATAAACATGAATACTTGGATCAAAATATTTTACAGCATTCTCACGATGAACATTATTCTCCCGAAAGTTCTGGAGATCAACAATCTAGGCCACAATCACCAGTGATAAATTCGGGTTTTCCTAGCACTAATCAGGATATGTCAGCTATACTTTCTACATCAATTATTACTCAAACATCACCAATGCTTCCTCCAAAAGTAGCTCCTCCAAATGTTACAAATACAAATTCATCAATAACTAGTACTTTATCAACTAATACCTTATCAGTTTCTTTATCGAATCAGCATTGTAATAGCCCCACTAGAGTATCTGATTTTTCATTTAATGGTAATAACAATGGAAGTAATACAACAAATAATAGTTCTGGAAAAAGAGCAAATCGAACAAGATTTACCGATTATCAAATAAAAGTGCTTCAAGAATTTTTTGAAAATAATGCCTATCCTAAAGATGATGATTTGGAATATTTAAGTAAACTTCTGGGATTAAGTCCACGAGTTATAGTAGTGTGGTTTCAAAACGCTAGACAAAAGGCTCGTAAGGTCTATGAGAATCAACCACCTCTTGATCCTACTCCGGGAAGTAGAGATAATGAAGATGGAACTGGACGATTTCAAAGAACGCCTGGTCTTAATTATCAATGTAAAAAATGTCTTCTTGTTTTTCAAAGATATTATGAACTTATACGACATCAGAAAACACATTGCTTTAAAGAAGAAGATGCAAAACGAAGTGCGCAAGCACAAGCAGCTGCAGCTCAAGTAGCCGCTGTTCTTAGTTCTGAAGATAGTAATAGTAGTTCGACTACAACAACTAATACACTTCAGTCAACTTCTATAAATATTCAGTCTGTTTCAGAACAATCATCAAACTCCAATAATACTTTTCTTCAAAATCAGACAATCCAGCAACTTCAGCAGAGTCAACAAAATATTCAATTAGACTCTAAGGATGAAAATTTTCAATGTGACAAATGTAATCTTGTTTTTGGTCGATTCGAATTGTGGCGCGAACATCAATTAGTACATATCATGAATCCAACACTTTTTCCTCCAAATTATCCACCTGATTCAGCATTTGGTATTTTACAGCAACAAGCATTAAACAACTCTAGTTCATCACCAGATATATCTCATTCAATGCTGAATATAATACACGATAAAAAAAGAAAGTATGATGATTATGATGATGGTCATAATACAGACAATAAATCTAATTCAGATCAAAATGATCAACCAAAAGATAAACGTCTACGTACAACTATTCTTCCAGAGCAGCTAGATTATCTTTATCAAAAATATCAAATTGAATCTAATCCATCTCGAAAAATGCTAGAAACTATTGCTAGAGAAGTTGGTTTAAAAAAGAGAGTAGTTCAAGTTTGGTTTCAAAATACACGCGCACGTGAAAGAAAAGGACAGTTTCGTGCACATAGTCAAGTAATAAATAAACGATGTCCGTTTTGTCCCGCCCTTTTTAAGGTGAAATCTGCTTTAGAATCTCATCTAAATAGTAAACATATTGATCAAATTACTAGAAGTGAGGTTAACATTGACAATTTACCTGACGAAGAGTTATCGTTAGAGTCATCTCCATCAAATCCAAGTACTCCTAATATGATGCCTCCTTTATTTCCTCCAATTAGTACTGAAGTTGAGGCTTCATTAAAAAAATATTATGAAGAATCTATGAAACGTTACATAACAGAATTACAAGCACATGCAAGTAATGAAAAACAAGATACGAATACTTCACTTTTTCCTGCAAATAGCAGTGAGTCGCCTTTGGATTTAAGCAAACCTGTTGATTTGAGCAAATCTATTAAAGTTACCGATAATAATTTAGGTAATCTTTTAGATGATCAAAATAATTCTCAACAGGTACGTAGTGGTAGTGACTATGGCCCACTAACTGATTTTTCAGAAAAGAGCGTTTGTGATGATGATAGTATGAGTGAAACAACTGAATTTCTTGACGATGAAAGCAGTCCAACTAGCCCAGCATCTAGTTCGCAAAGTTCCAAACAAGGATTAACTAATAATATTATTGGAAATAACACAATTGTATGTTCTGGTATCAACGCAGTAGTTCAAACTGGAGGAAAAAGATATCGTACACAAATGTCAACAACACAAGTTAAAGTGATGAAATCTTTATTTTCGGATTATAAAACTCCAACAATGGCTGAATGCGAAATGCTTGGTCGTGAAATCGGACTTCCTAAACGAGTTGTTCAGGTAACAAAAATTATATAAATAACGACTAATTTGCTTTTCTAGCTATTATTTCGCCAATATATAATATGTAATATATGATAAAATAAGTAAACTAATAATTTTCTTAAATAAAACATAAAAAGCATTTTTTTAATATAAATTAATAAAATCAACTTAATGAAGGTTCTTAAATAATTTTTATTAAAAATATTTATATATTAAACTTAAAATTCAAAATCTTGTAGAACAATATTATTTTATGTTTTATAATTTTTATTATCTGTGTTATCTAGCTTTAACATATTAATACTAATTAGTTTCATGAAAACTCTATAAAAATCCATTACCATATTATAATTGTATGCAGTTTTAATATAATATAAAAACATTTGTTTACATATAAAAGAAAATAATATTGATGATAAGATATTACTTATAATAATATTTACTATAAGAGTATTCCTTTAAAGATATTTGTATACCATATTTTTCGATATTAGAACTGTTGTATTTTGTATAGAATTAATAAAATCATTGATCTTATAATATTTATAATGATGGTATGATAATACTTATCATTTATTATACTAAATGATAGCCAGAGAATTCAACACAAGTCAAGTTAATATAAATTCTTATTTTCTATTATTTATAAAACGATACAGGCTATATATATATATATATATATATATATATATATATATCAGTAAAACTTTTAATAATATTTCCAATAATTTGAATGGACATGGACACTTTAATATTTATTAAATTTTTTAATAATGGATTTTGCAATTGCTTTTCGCTGGCTAGAAAGAACTTCTATAAAAATTCATTGCTTTATTTTTAATTAGACTTAGTTTTAATAAACCTCAATTGAAAAGTATTTTACTATTTGAAATAATTTAATTAATTATTTATGATAGAAAGAATTCGTTCCCAATACAATTTCATTTATTTAATAATGTATGCAATATGTATTTATTATCGAAATTTTTCTATAAGTATTCCATTATATTATTCATAATAATAACATAATTATTATCTACTTAATGAATTATTATTATAACTACTAATTAATAATCCACAGATTTATGAATAATAAACAATACCTTGTGATAATTGTCCTGTCTATATTAAAATGAATGGTGCATAATATAATGAAATATATATATATTTAATTTTATTAAACTATCTATAACAGATGTATTTTGTATATCATTGACTCAAATAGTTCGTTTCGCTTATTTGTACTTTTAATAATATTTAAGAATAACATTTGAGAATATTATGTTGATTTTAATACAAAATTTAATATATGGATTAAGACGATATAGTATGTAATGTATTTTATTAATAACCGAGTTATCAATGGTTTTTAAATTAGGTAAAAAACATATCTGGAACTATTAGTTAATTATATGTTAATGCTATATATTTCAATTAATTATTTCAGCAAAGTTTAAATATATATAGTTTGTAAGGGAAAATCACGTAATATTTATAATTTTATATGAGAAAAGTCGAGTAATTAGCAATTTTCTTAATACATGAAGTAATAATATATAAATATAATATTATAAAGTTTTTGTATATTAAATATATATAAATATAAAATTTTTAGAGGGAATTTTAATTTAATGCGATAATATTTTGAAATATACTAGTAGAAGAAAATAAATTTTTCTTAGAAATTATTAAAAAATATTTATTCCTTTGAGATTATTTTTTTATCTTGACAGTGTTTTTATTTCATAAGAATTTAAAATAAAAATCGTATCAGAGTTTTTAAGTAAATTATTTATTAATATTATATTAAGATAAATTAATATAAATAATTAATATAAATTAATATAAATAATTATTATAAATTATTAATTATTAATATTATATTGAAATTTTTTAAATTAATATAAATAATTAATTTAATATAAATTAATATAAATAATTAATATAAATTAATATAAATAATTAATATAAATTAATATAAATAATTAATATAAATTAATATAAATAATTATTATAAATTATTAATTATTAATATTATATTGAAATTTTTTTATTAGATTGAATTATTTTGAAATAAAGAGGTTAAAAAAAAAGAGTTTGTTTGAATTTTACTGAATACGGAAATGCGTGATACAAGCAAACAAAATTGGCTGTAAAATATGAAAACTTAAATTAATTATACCCTGTAGTTTTCAGAAAGATAAAGAAATAATATTAAGGTATATTTAAGTTTGTACTATTTAAAAATAGTGTTTGTCCCAAGAAGGTAAAAGAAGGTTAAGATAGAATCTCGGAAGCCTAGTGCGGAAGTGATAAAATGATGTGGTTTTTATATATCTTATATAAATTTTATATAAATTAAGTTATATACAGTACATTATTTTAGATATAAATTAAGTAATAATTTTTATGAGTTAAGCTTGATATGGTAAAATAACGTATCAAACAAAGAGATAAGAAAAAAGCAAATTGTAAATAATTCAAATTTTATTTAAAATACCATTGACTGATTTGTTTCAGTATTTACCAAATTTTCTATAAAAGTACTAAATATTTTAAATATTGTAACAATAGTTGCCATAAAGTTTTTGTATATTCTGAAACTTGTAGTGGAACAAAAAAATATATGACAAATTTATGGAATACTATTTTTAATATTTAGTTCTCTTATTTTAATACAATTTCAAATGTTAAAGGTTTGCGTTGGCTATTACTTTTAAATAATTTGACAATTGCGTATTGATGGTATTTAAAGTTCAGATAAATTTCTATCTATAATAAATTTTCAATTTTGATTTATATATATATTAAATAGCATATACCATATGGATAACTTTATATACAATGTTAATTTAGATCTATATTAATGATATCTAAGTATCTATCTAAGTATCTATATTAATGATCAATGTGCTTATTGATAAAAAATTCAAACTTTTTTATTTAAATATATTATGTTTTATGTGCTAATGTTTTTAATTTATCCGAGTGAGAACACTTCACTTTTAATTTATGTATCTAACTTATTTATTTAATTAAGTTATTTCTCCAGGATTCAAAATAATAACTTTAATATTAAACAGTCTTTTTTTGTAATTTTTAAATTTTCCGGTAATTTCAGCAAATTTTTAAAAACTTTACAGTTTTTATAATAAAGAATTAGAATAAAGTAGACCGATTGTATAATTAAGGAATCTTACCATAATATAATAGGTATGCAAAAGTAATTAATAATTAATTAAATATTAATTATTAATAGAATTTAATATTAATAAATAATTACAAAAGTAACCATTTAATTTATGTTTCTAAATTTACGGTGCAAATTAATAGAACTGCAATTTTTATTTGATCTTCATACTTATAATCGTATAATATTAATTTAAAGTGATAAATATCATTATACTAATAATTATTATCTAGGTATGGTTTCAGAATGCACGTGCTAAAGAAAAAAAAGCTAGATTAGCAGCAGGATTATCAGCAGAGGGTATAGTTGTTCATCGTGGTTTAACTGGGCCAGAAGAATGTAAATTATGCTCTATACGTTACAGTCCTAAATCGCCTTTGCAAGAACATGTATTTTCGCGAAGACATATTGAATCAGTAAGAATTGCCGTTGAAGATGGTAGTTTAATACCACCTACTCCTGGAGCTCCTATTATACGGGAAAGTGCCATTGCAAGCTCTACAAATAATAATCTGCAAGGCAACCAATCGCAGACTGAAGAAAATATGATGTACGGGTCGTTGTTCCTTCATCCCACGGCAATGTTTCAGTCGCAGCAACAGCAGCAACAGCAACATTCCGGGAATGTTACAACCAGCACGACTACCACCACAACCGGTGAGTGTCTAGCTGACCTCTTAGATTCCTAAGCTCATGCTACCGAAATTCGAATTAGGCATTTCATACAGGTAAGAAAAATCGACCAATAGCTATTGCTTAAAGGTCAGTTTTAGTAAAATATATTTGATTATGATACCACCGAATTACGAGTGCATGAGCAACGTTATGTGTTGTATTCATGTAGGTCAGGTGTATACTATATTTTTAAAAAATGGTCCGTGTGATAATGTAGAAGGGCCATAAACTCTCGCGATTTTATTTGTTTAGGTTTCAAAATATCTTTATATAGCGCGAATAATATATCCAGTGCTAGGCAATACTGAAAGTTCCTATCAAATGACTATTATAATATAAGAATTATAAAAAAAAGTAAATTAGAATAAAGTAGACAGATAGTATGATTAAGGGAGATTGACTACGTGAAAATAAAATGGTCACGGCATAAAAATAGTAGATTTGACACATGAGAGCAATGAAATGATTTCTTATATAATGTATAGTACTATCTGGTTACTAGAGAAAATATCTCCACATTAAGTTTTTATGTACAGTAAAGACTATATATAAAGATTTATAGTTTTATTATTGTATTTTGATAATGAATTTAACAGTGTCATTCATTTAGATCAGTTTTCATTTAATGCATTTGATTCATAATTATAGCGAAACGAAGGATAGACTGTATTTTATTATTTAATGGAATATTTAAATTCAATTGTAATAAAAATAAAATATTCCTGTTAATGACATTATGTAAGCTCCGAAAAATATTGTAAGGATAGGAAAATATGTGATCTTCGTTTTATACAGTTTTCCTAACGTATCTATTTATAATGATCACTCTACATACCTCGCATGTTCTTGTTTATATTCTAGGAAATATAAGTCCGTTTTTAAGTAATGGCTATTGCCTTAATTTTTTATTGCAAAACATAATCCTAACCCATAATTATATTATTTTTATTCAACATTATTGTATCCTCATATATGTTACATTTATTACAACAAGCCAAATTTAACAATTTTATTTCTCAATTTTAACGTAGTTCCTAATATAATTATTCAAATTATTTAAAAATATTTTACTAATACATAATAGTTTCAAATTCGTTCAATATAATTTTATTTAGAATATGATAAAATACTATAATATACGATTTTTGGTAATTCAAATAAATTTGTATTATATAGTTCGTATTAAAATAGTTCGATAATTTTTTTATTTATAAAAATATTTAAAAACAGATATCACTGTTTTCATTTAACAATTTCATAAAATTGCTTTAGAAAATTTTTATAAAAAATTTTTATGTATATTATTTTGGAGGAGTAATATTTAAAATAATAATCAATTTTAGGCATCAATTAATTTACGAGTTTTATATATATTTATAATTGTATAATTAAATAATATATTTTAAATTATAGACTATTAGATATAAACTTTTAGTGATCTATAAATTTAGCAAACAAAATTAAAGATGACTATGAATTTTATTACATGAATGGTAAGATATGTATATACACAAGTATATAATATAATAACACTGCCATTTGTTCAGCTTGAATTGTATTTTTATAGTACCTATATTTATATTTCGATTATTTAATATGTTTTTATTAAAGTAGATATTACAAAAATGGAAGCTTTTAAAATTTTAATCTAATTATTTTTCTTACTGCTTAGTTATAAAATACAAAATGTGTAACTTTTATTAATCAGTGAAGAATAATGTCTTACTAGTATTAAAGTTTTTAAAAATATGAAATAGAAAATGAATACAAAATTTAATTTTATTATATTAATTTCTGATTAGTTTTAAAATATGTATGATAAAATATATATTTTGTTTCTAACTATATTTTTATAAAATTTATTCAACACTTTGTTTTTGTTTAGATATTTTGTAAATATTTTAATTTTTCATTTATAATTTTTTTTTTTTATTTTAATTTTTCATTTATAATTTTTTTTTTTTATTTTAATTTTATAATTTATAATTTATATTTTATATATTCAAATAAAATTTTTAACTTTTTTACATTTGAGTCATTATTACTCAAGTTAATTTGACAAAATATAATAAATTACCGTCATTAATTATTAAAACAAAATCAAATTTATATAATTATTTTTTTATAATTTCATTGGAGTTGCATATATGCTTTTTTAAAAGTAAAAATACGTAATATGATAGAATAAGTAATATACATATCATAATTTGGAGGAAATCGTACATATTATTGTAAAATATTTATTCTATGTAAATAAAATTTTCAATATAAATATTAATTTTAAATATATTTATTTTGATGTCTATTAAAGTTTAATTAGACTTTTACTTTTTTTTTTTAATTTAACAAAACAAGCTTTTAATTAAAATCGCCATATTTTGTTTTACAGTAAAATATAAACAATAATACTTTATATATTTTTTTATACTAAATATAACTAAACATAATGTTTATACGATAGAAACGAATAATATAGATGTAATTGAAATGAATTTTTCAAATTTTAATAATGATTTATAATTTGTAATATGATTGAATTTATCAAATATAAAAAATTTAGGACATAAATTATATGTTATTTCTATTTAAATTTTAGTTTCTAATCAATATTTAGAACAAAATAGAAAAAAATAATAAATATATATTATTTAATTGTTTTATGCCGGAAGTATACATATAATATACTAAATATCAAATATGCACCTTTGCTATAAAAGTTATTTTACAGAATGACCATAAATAAAATATTTTGCCACATCTAAATAAAGATTTTGATGGATTTTTCGTATATAGTGTGTGTATTCGACATATTTATAATGTATGTCTATTCATATATAAGTAATTTATTTAATATCAAGTTATATGTATAATTATAATTATAATTATATATTTCTACTGTTTTTTCATAAAATCATTAAACTTTCAAATTTAAATTTATTATTTTCATTTATTACTAAGTTTACTTTTTTTTAACATTATTGAGCAATATATTTTATATCATTTTGTATTCTAAAATAACTGTAAATTTAGCATTTTATTTTTAAGTACATGCATTATTAATTTAGTTCTGTAATTATAATAATTTTCATAGACATCATTTAATTAAAATTATGAATTTTAATTGTAAAATGAATAGATGTTTAAATACAAATATTTTATATTTTTTTAATATATACAATACTACTATCACGTACTGTTCCTACTGATATAATGTATTGAGTATATGAGAAAATAAAGAAAAAAAAATCATTTGGAGATAAGATAATTATGTATAACTATGTTAAACTATACTTTGAATAATGCTATAAGGCATTTTATTTGAGTATTTTTGTCGAAATATTACCTGGTCTTTATAATTATAAATACAATATAATTTTACTTCAAAATTTGCCTATATAATTAATAAAACTTTTTTAAATAACTAATTTAAATAAAAAATTAATTATATTCCCTTTCATTAAAGATATTCGTTATAAATACCATCTAATTCCTGTTTTGTATAGTGAATTTTAAGATTTAGTATTGTTTTTAAGCCAAATAAAAATTGTTTTTGAATAATATTTTGTATTTCACTTGTAACTATTTATTATTGCATTGTAATGATGATTGCAATTTATTATTTAAGTATTTTTTGTATATAATCAATAAACTTATATAAATATAAAAGAAAATCTTTATAAATTCATTTTTTTTTTTTACTAAAAAATATATATAATAGTATTTGATTGTAAAATATAAATTCCGAAAAAATTCAAAATAAATCATGAGAATAGTATATAATAATTATATAGACAAATAATAGAATGTTCAAACAATACTTATATTTTAAAGAAATCCTTTATAAATAACATGAATACTTTAATATAAAATTTAATATAAAATTTCTTAATTAATAAATATTAAAAGTCAATTTATTTGAAATGTAAAAATATAATCTTTTTCTGGCATTTTTATAAATCTGGCATATATGCAATTTCCATTATTGTGCTGAATTAAAAGACATTTTAAAACTACTAATATAGATTCATAATATATGTTTTGTAAATTTTTGTTTTAATTATAAAATTTAAAAATTTTTCGTTAATATTTGAATTATTTGTATAATAATATATACTTACATATATAATATAAATATTATTGCCTTTTTAAGTAAACTAAATCATATTTGTAATTTGAGCGGCTGTGATGTTTGATCAGTATTTTACTTTCCTTTCAGAATATTCTTATTTTTTATACATTTTTAATTGATTAATATGCATTCAGTTAATATATTATGTATAAAATAAAATATTATTGTAGTAAAAACTTTTTTAATTGTATTACATTATGGAACTACATACATCTATAATAAATTTTTCATTTTTAATAAAGTATTTATTTAAAACTGTGATGTTAATTTATTTATACCCATCCAAATTTATTATTATTATTATTATATATCCCATAGTATATGATATAATATTTTTTAGGTAAGTATTCAATTTATATAATTATATAAATATGTAATTGAGAACTAGTAATAAAAATAAGGTACAAAATAATTTAAGTCACTGTCTATTAAAAGTATTAAAAATTGCTCATTAAAGTTACTAATGCAGAATATAAAGTAATAAATAAAAGTAAACTAATTTGTTCATATTTAATATTTTTTATAGATTTTATTTTTATTTACTTTTTATAAAATAGAGGTTTTTATTATGATTTATAGGTTGTTTTATAATATTATTGTTAGAATAATATATGGAATTAAATACTATATTAATTTGCACAAATATTACACCATAACAATAAGAATAATTTTACTTATTAAAATAGTTATGATCCTTAGTGTATACCTGTGTCACAAATACGAGATCAAATATCAGTAAAGCATATAACTACAGTTAAATAACGATTAAACAACGATTCTATATTATAAAAAATGTATAAAATATAAAGATCAAATGAATGATTTGAAATAACAACAAACAAAGTAAAAAAAATATGTACATTAAATAAGTTTTTAATATAAGATTGAAACTTATCTGAGACGAACATTTGCAAATTAGTATCAACGATAATTTTGTATTTTCTAATGTTTTAGCAAATAAATGTAGTTTTCATATGAAAAATGCCTATTTTATTTTGATATTAGAAAAATTATTAAATAGAAATCAATATATATTGTAAAATATTTAATTTTTAAATAATTTATTTATAAAAATAGTTTTTAATTCACAGGTATTTTAGAGATAAATAATAAAAAATTATTTTGTTTTTAAATATGTATTAATAATTTTTTATATTTTTAGGTATGTAAGTTTAGAATATATTTAATATACAAATTTAATATTACCTTTATTTTAAAAAGTAAGTATTTTAAGACTTCCGGTTTTTTTTAATAAGTTAGTTATACATTTAAATTGATATTAAAAAAAAGATGTCATTTATTATATTATTTAAATACTTATTCAATTAATTACATAGATAAGTATTTTTTTATATATTGTAAATTAAGATTTAAAACAATGTAAATAAGTTTTATCATAATGGATTATATTTTTAAAAATTTAATATTTTTATTTAATTTTATTTACATTTAATATTTATATCTAATCAATATTGTTAACCTTTTTTTCTAATAAGCATTCTAGAAAATTTATATCATTGTTCTACTAATTATAAAATCGATACAAAAATTATTTGTGAAAAAAGTTGGTAATAATAATTATTATTTACAATATATAAATGAAAAGACAGAAAAGAGTATATTTAAAGTAGAAATTTAAGTCACCACATTTGATTTGAAATTTTTATCAAAGATGTGATTCTATACAATTAAAATAAATTACATTGAATAATTTAAATCATAATTTTTAAATATATTTTTGAAATGATTAA